TGTAACACGGTGCTGTCAATTGGAACACGTTTTCTGTCATGTCTTCTACCCACAAATTTAATGCCTTTTCTATATTAACTAAGCACTTATTACACACTGTGGCTGTAACTTTTGCATTTTCAGGTGTGAGAGCAAAACTAAAATGAAATTATTTCCTTCTTCATAATTTCAAGGATAGAAGATTCATACTGTTCATCTTAGCAACCTAAGCATATGATCTTTAAAATTTCCTTATTAAGTCCAGAACTTTACCTTTTTACTTAAATGAAGCACGTTACGATTTTCTTTGGCATGTTTAAATTGCCAGCATTATTCCTCTTACTCTTTGGGGCCATTATTAAGTAAAATAAAGGTGACTTGAACACAAGCACTGCAATGCCATGGCAATCAATCTGATAATAAGACAGCTCCTAAGTGACTAACGGTCAGGTATCATACACAGTGTGGAGATGCTGGACAAAGGGATGATTCACATCCCTGACAGACGGAGTGGGACAGAAAGAGGTATCATCATGCTACTCAGAATTATGTGCAATTTAAAATTTATGAATTGTTTATTTCTGGAATTTTCCATTTAATATTTTTGGACCAAGTTTGGTCATGGGAAACTGAAAATGAACTAAACTGAAACCTCAGATAAGGTGGAACTACTGTATATAAATATATACTACACAAAACATCAGTATAGTCAATATTGTCAGTATACATATAATATATTGGTTCATCGGGAAAGTCATGACTTTTCTGATGACCCAATATATAAATAATGATGAATACATGACATTATAAATGTAGTGTTTTATATTATATATATATATATATATATATATACATATTTATATCTTTCCAATGACCTGTCATTCTAAACAAAATGGCTAATAATTTTGTTATTAAGTAATGTTATTTATTTCCAAATATGATTTTTCTGTGTTTATTTTCTTGAATTATGTTTAGTTGTATAAGTAAGTCCATAGATTAATTAATTCGTGCTCTATTGTGCCTCATCTTAATCTAAAGAGAATCGTGAATATTTTAAACCACCAGTGGGTTAGTAAAAATAGCCAATCCATCCCCTAACTAATCCCTTTCTATTGAAACACATGTTTTTGCAATGTGATTTCGTTTTCATCAAATGTGTTATCTGAAAAATGTAGCCAATTACGCATTATAACAAAGCAGCATGTATTCGGCTTTGGAGATCAGAGATTGTTGGAGATGGATAAGACCAGATCACACGTAGATCACTATAAAAACATTGTTTTATACTTGATATCCTGCTCTAACATAGGTCTCTAAGTCATTGTCACCTGGCTATCTGCTTTATCTCCTTTTGGAGTTAAATTATCACTAAAACACTGAGGTTTGCCATTCATGCCAATATCAGTATCTTCAAAATTAAAACTGGGATTGAAGGAGGATCCTGAACACCCAGATTTTTATTTTCTTTAATTAAAAGTTAGTATGTATAATATGGAATATTATGTATACTAACCTGAAGGGATAGCTATAAAAAACAAGTTCAAGAGCAATGTTCTTGATAGTTTATAAAAACAAATGTCAACAGCAAAAATATCCCTCTCTGGGGTGACCAGTTAGCTCAGTTGGTTTGAGCATGGTGCTGATAACAACAAGGTTGCCGATTCGATCCCTGTATGGGGTCAACCACTGTGAGCTGTACCCTCCCGAAAAGAGTCAATTATGCCATTATAGCATAAAAGCAATGTGTAACCATTGACCATGGCTGCTCCCCAATAAAATTAAAATATATATGTGTATATATATTATCCCTTTCTGACAAAAGAGACATAAAAATGCATATCTGTGCTTTCTGAGGTTGGAGAAGTGCACGTGAGGACGGTACAGAGGCACATGCCACACTTTGACTTTGGCCACATCAGAGAGAAGGACAGAGACCAAGAGGAGAACGGGTTAGTAACTTTCTCTTTATATGAGTCTGTTTTGAGTTTTAAAACATATTACTTTTATAATTATATATCTGTATAATTATATATTTTTAAATATTCATATATACTTACATAATTTACTTACATATATTTATGTAATTTGTTCAAATATATTCTATATTATTATATACCCATATAATATATAATTACATATCTTTAAAATATATAATGATATGTTATTATATACCCATGTAATCCTTATGTGTGTGTAGTGTGTGCACACATACATATACATATGTGTATATTTAAATTCACCAGTTGTGTTTGATTTAACATTGTTTTCCTGTGTTTTATTTCTGAGGCTATCATTCTTAAGTATATTTTTGTATCAACTGTCTTTGGGTAAGAAACGTTATCAACAAAAAAGTATATCTTAATGTCAGGAGAGGAAGTAAATCTGTTGCATTAAAATAGAAATTTGTTAATATATTGGTTAATAATTTAGGCATAACAGATATTTTAAATTATTCTAATGAATTATGAGAAAAGGCAAAATATTTCCTTCAGCCCGTTGCAAATAATGTGTCCACTTCAGAAGAAAACACATGGCTGATCAAAGCAGATTATAAATATGAAACATATTACAGAGTCATAGTTTAAAACAGCATTGGTAGTACAGAAATAGTAGATGTGTGTGTTACTAACAGGGGTCATCTAACTGTATAAGGAAAGAAAGTGTTCTTATCATACTGGTTTAATAAGTAGATATTACTGACAAAAGTTTAAGTCCAGTATAAACATTAATTATTTTCATCACAGCAAAAGAAACAGAATTATTATTGTTACTGTAGGAACACTGAGTTCATAAGCATTTGCACCAAAAGGAAAAACTGTTTCAGGGAAAAGAGGACATTGAATTAGAAGGGAAATACTTTTGTTGACTTTTCTCAAAAATAGGACTGTACTGCAACTTGCCAAATCCAAAAATTGACTAGGAAAGTTTAGTTAAAAATATTTTGGCTATCCATATACTTTGAGGTGTAGGAGTTCTGCTCACATTCTATGCCCTACATTGCCATACAAAATTAGAAGAAAAAAATCACCAAATATGGTATATGATATGTTATAGTACAGTATTAAAATGTCTTTAAATAATTAAGACTTACTGTTATTTCTGTGTCATCCCTTCACAATGCCATTTTAATGATCAATAGTAACCTGAAAGGAAAAGAAATAAATCAAGGTATCGACATCATTTAAAATTTCCATGAACTCTGCTCAGAGAACTTTAATGTTCACACACACACACACACACACACACACACACACACACACACACAAAGAATAAAAATGTGAGGTGATAGATGTGCTAATTAACTAGATGGGAGAATTCTTTCAAAATGCATACATATATCAAATCATCATGATGTATACTTTAAACATCTTGCAATTTTATATGTCAATTATACCTCAATAAAGTTGTAATTTTAAAAAATCCTATGAACTAACATATAACGTTCATTTTACATTTATTCAAAAAATCTTAAAACCAAAATATCCTTATTAAAATGGGATGTCTAAAAAGTTTGAATATTTCAGTTTATATTCTATCCATTGACAATATCTTTCCTATAATAAAAATAGTTATCCTCTTGGATTCCCTAAAAATCATTATAAAGTAATAAGATCAATAATATTAATGAAGTGTGTTGCTAGGAATAATCAATCTAATTCATTGTAAGGATTCTTTCTAATTTGGAAATATACAACTTCTAAAAATAACCATGTATGGGAGTCAAAATTAATAAAAGTATTAAAACAGGCCCAGACAAAATTAAGTTTACATAAATTTAATTTGAAGTCAAAATGTTCTCTTGCTATTTTTATTGTTATAGTTGTTGTTTTCAAAATACCATAAATATTTGAGAGACAAAGATTGCTGTATGGGTGAACACACTAAATACCACCAAATAATTTGTTTAATATCTCTAATTTTATAAAAAAACAAAACACTTTTTTCATGGAATGACATTTTTTAAATACAGTTTTATTTAAAAATGTTAATATCAAAATATACTATAAAATGTCTAATGTCTAAATTTTTAGTACTTAAAATGCTATTCCTAGCTTTTTAAAAATGTTTTAAAATGTCATTTTATATGCTGCATTTACAATTAATTTCCTTACCATTTTGATTTGCTGTCACGGGCATCAAGAAATTATTTATTCATGAAAATAACTAAAAGAATTTGAAATGAGGTGAAAATTTTGGAAAACATATGCTTACTGATGAGGTTTTACAAGTTATATTCCAACTCTGTGAGAATCTACAAATATTAACAAGATGATTGATGGGCTAGTCCAGTTTTTCAAACAGCAGAATATTCATGTAGGCTGTAGAAAGAATGTTTTCCTCTGTTGACCTAGTTCATTCATAGTTGGCAAAATATTTGGAAAGTAAAACATTAAGGAAAGCTAGTCTCCTTTCCAGACCATGAATATGCAGAAAGAGGACAGCAGAATCTAAACTTATAACCCAATGTTTCAAGATTCTCATTTTAAGCCTATGTAGTCTATTTTTGTTGTTGTTGTTTAACAAACCTTATACTATGTATGAACAGTACAATTACATACAGAGGGTGCCAAAAATGTGTACACATTTTAAGAAAGGAAAAAACTATTAAAATTGTAATACTCAATATATACCAGTAACAAAAGATGAATACAAGTCACGTTTGGCTTCTTCAAGTACAAAAGGTGCTCAAAGTGGTTACCATCAGCATCCAGACACTTTCGATTATGGCGAACTACTGCTTGAGCAATGTTGACCAAAGTGTCAACTTGCATACATTTTTTTGGCACCCCTAGTATATTTTTGTTTAAATAACTGTAAATAGTTCTTGATCTTTTAATACTAAAGTGAACTAGAGAAATATTGATGGGCTGGCTGAGTGGCACATTGGTTGAGAGCTGGCTTGGGAAGCCAGAGGGCCCTGGTTCGGATCCCATATATGAGGGCCAGTGACACTGCCCTCTACAGCTAACATGCTGAACAACAGCTGGACCTGGAGCTGGGCTGCGGTGAGTTGCCGTGGACAGCATAGGCTGCAGCCCCTGTGGCAGTGGGTTGCCATGGGCTACCGTATGTAGCCAGCAGCCAGCGTGAGCGGCCAGCAGCTGCAGTGAGCGGCC